TGTTAGCCAAAGACTAGCATGCGTTCAAGGTCATTGGAACGTGCGCACTCCTGGGACGCTATTGTTTAACTTCCTCGTATTTCATAAATCAATTTAAATAAAATACGTGCATTAAAATCCTCCAGATTACTATTCTTATTTCAGTAGAGCTGCAATCATATTTCAGATACTGAAAGTATATATCATTTTACTTCAGAATGTGTTCTTTAATATCTCAGATTCAATCCAGTAACTCTGCTAACAATAAATGGTTGTTAAGGTAGTAATTGGAATCACCATTGTGTCATTGTACATATTTGCTCTGATTTGTGGCGGGAAATTTCGTTTATTCATAGTGCATTATTAAAAAGAAACACATTTGTCACAATTAATTTATTGGAACATTCCAAGTGTTATCTACTTTGAATTCCTATTGAAATGTTTGTTTTATTTTTTGTTTTTAATTTGAGATTGCTGTAACAATAGAGTTTATTGCTTATGGGATTGTTCATGGTTTGATTACAAGACTAGATGACATCAATTACAGTGCAATGTTTTCCTGTTGAATAGTTGACAGTATTGGACGGGAGTTCCGTAATTTGCTATACATATGGAATTCAGCCGAATTTATTACTTTTTGTATATTTGGTTTTGTTTCTAGGATGGAACCTGAAAAAAAACAACTAAAGAAATCATTTAATGTGATCGAAACATTAAACATCTACATCATTATCATTTGAAAGCTTATTGACTACTTAAATCTGAATGCAGCCGTGAGTAATCCAATTGAAATTCTTGTTATTCAAGTATTGGTTTGTAGGGATTTGATTGATTGGTTTCAGGATTTCTTCATGAGCTGACATCGGTTAGAGAACCATTGGAAAACCTGAAGGGAGTACTGGACAGCTGTTTCGTGAATTGGTAGAAGATGGGATTCATGGGCCATTGGGTTGGGTCCTAGGGGCCTAATGGTCTACGATCTCACCTGGTAACCAGAAGGACCTGGGTTTGAACCCTGGCGGTTGGTGGGTGCTGTTGGAGAGTTCCAAGCTAGGCTGACGAAACAGCTATTCAGTACTCCCTGGTGGTTTTCTAATGGTCATCTAAAAATTCTTGTCGTAGATACAAATCATATTGTTGAAATTAGGCGGAATCTCCTGATCAATGAGAGTTATTCCTAACCAACTGTGTTTTTTAGTAGTACAGCTTGTTATCTAATTAAAATTTTATTGCAGTGCTCCTTCTAATGTAAGCTTTGTTGTTATCACAGATGGACAATTTAAATCTCATCATTAATAACCGTGATCGGATTCGTAAATAATTTGTAAATCAATCCTTCTTTTTCAGATTTTTGTAATAAAATTTCCACCAGAGTGGATCTGTTGAACAGAACCTATTCCAAACTCATGTTCTGAAAAATCCACAATTCATCAAATTTGTGAATTGAACATACATTTTGCTCTCCAGCATATCATATATTGAAGAAATATCACAATGCCATACTTGCATATTATTGGTTTGTTGTGTTTTTTTCAACCAACACACTTATAACAAGTAAGTATGGCCACCTCTAAGTGTACTACAAGATTCCTTTTTGTTATGAATATTTACGCTGTTTGTTTTTCATACTTTGTGTTGCCATTCTTTAGAAATAAAGCAGCACTTCCACATCAGTTATATATATATATATATAACTTGTAAATAATACTGTCTCACTGTATGATATGTCTAATAAACTACATAGTGTTGATTTACGTATTACTTCTATGTCCATCTTCTACACAAATATTGCAGAAACTTGTCCTTGACTTTCCTCATCAGTACAACAATCATTAGTTGACAAGAAAACTAACATTTCAACTAAGAGTTCAGTATTTACACGAATTATTCAATTAATTTTGTAACAAATCTTGTAAGTTAATATTTCTAGTATTCTTATGAAGTTTATTCAGGATTGCTCAAATATAAACGTGAAACAAATTGATATCAAGTTGAGTTTGAGTTCTGTGCTTTTCACAGTCTCGATAGTGATGTAAACTGAAGGATGATAAATCATTGATATTAAAAACGTCTCTGAACTATACTGTTTCTTTTCTGAAAAACAAAACCTTTCGTTAGAATTAGAATAATGTATTTCTGGTTAAGAATTTGATGTTAAGATATCTGCTTGTAAGTGGCTAGATATTTAGTCATATGCTGAGGGTAGCAGAATAATCGCTGTGAAAATCCCTCCATTTACAATAATGACATTTATTTTTCGCTTAACCTGTATAACATTGTTCCAACGTTTTCACATCTCCTTTGGCATTAATCTTTATTATTTGTCTTCATGTTTGGCAGATCGCTAATCTTAATGCATCCCTTTGCTGCTGCGTTATGGTATTGGTAATAGATTGTTTTAAACCTGCGATTTTGTTTTGGGTGAATTCAAGGTTACTCTATTGAAGTGACCTGCTTGGCCTTCAACTGCCTGAGAAAAAAGTGTTTGTTCCGTTTGATTCTGGTAGACAGCATTTTGTTCCCACCTTGTTAAAAATATTCTTATTGATTCTCAGTTAATTTATAACTGTGGTCAACTAATTTTTTTGTTCAGTACGTATTTTGTACCTGAAAAACTCTTGAATTGTATTGTTCCAGATGACATTGCTGAGGTAGTTTTTTTTTAATTTTGATATTTTATTGTTGTTGAACCTCTACCTCAACTTTATAGACTTTGAGAAGGCCCTCGACAGCGTTGACCGCGAAGTAATTTGGAAACTACTCAAGTACTACGGCGTACCTCAAATATTCATCAACCTTATTCAACAGCTGTACGACAACGGCACATGTCAAGTCATCCACAATGGAAAACTCAGTGAGGCGTTTGGAGCAAACACAGGAGTCAGACAAGGGTGCTTATTATCACCAATGATATTCCTAATTGTGGTGGACTGGATTATGCGTCAGACAGTGGGAAACGAGAAGACAGGGATATCCTGGACCGACATGAAGAATCTAGAAGACCTGGATTTCGCGTGTGGATGATTTATGTTTGATGTCACACAAAATCGAAGACTTACAAGCGAAAACTGACAAACTGGTCGAAGAAGCAGCAAAGACAGGACTCCAGGTGAACATAGACAAGACGGAGGTTATGAAAATAACCAACCAACAGCAACAACAACAGCATCAGCAACATCCAGCGCCAATCAGCATCAACGGGAGGGATTTGGAAGAGGTTACTTCATTCACTTATCTAGGGAGTATTGTCTCAACCACAGGAGGAACGCACGAGGATGTCAAATCGAGAATCGGGAAGGCATGAAACACATTCATCAACCTGAAACCAATCTGGAAATCTTCGTCACTCAGCATCAACAACAAAATTCGGATTTTCAATACAAACGTCAAGTCAGTCAGTTCTTCTATACGAATCAGAAACTTGGCGGGTCACCAAGAATATTTCCAACAGGTTTCAGACCTTTATCAACAGCTATCTTCGTTATATACTGAAGATCAGATGGCCGGAAAGAATCACCAACAAGAAACTATGGGGACGAACAAAACAAGAACCAATCACTCAACAAATATGCAGGAGAAAGTGGAGATGGATTGGATACTCGCTGAGGAGGCCGCTAGGTGACATCGCGCGTCAGGCCAATGCTCGAGTGGAATCCGAAAGGGAAGCGGCGATTGGGATGTCAGTGCAAGGGTGACATGGAGGAGATCGTGTGAAGAGGAGTTGAAACAGTATAGGCTAACATGGATGTAGGTGAAAAATACAGCAGAAGACAGAAGCAAGTGGAGACGTGCAGTTGAAGCCCTATTTTCCACTAGGAACTCAAGGGAACAATAATAATAATTGTTGTTGAACATCATACCACAGATTCTACCACTCAAATTTTCTTTTAGATTTTATGAGAACCCCTGATTGATTCGCACAAGTTTGCTGAACTATAGAGTGGAACGTATCGTCTGGTCCCTGAGTTTAGACAGAAATACTTGAGTTTTGGTCTTTATACTGAGAACTCTACTATTTTTGTAGTTTGAATAGAATTAGTCAACATTTTAAATTGGCGTGTCAATCAAGACTCGAATTTCCATCTCCTCTGTGATTTAGAGTCTGCGTGTAAATAGTAGTGCTACTAAAGATTAGTAATTAAATAATATTCATTCATATTGAATGACTCAAAAGGTATCAATAATAAATTACTTTGGTACATAAGTTTACACTGTCTTTTTATACAACATAATTTCTACTAAATAGACTCCCATGAGAAGTTTGACCCTGACTACAAACACAAGGGGATAGTATTTATTCATGAAAACGTGAACACTTATTCTGATGACTAAACATTCTTCTATTGTCATTCTTAATGATAACATGAAATATTCACGTATCTACTAGAAGATAGTATCCGTCATTTTTACTTATTTTTAATTCAGCTTTGATTCACCCGTTGATTGATTGGACCGAAATGTTTGGGCTCTGTTGAAATGAATTAAAAATAACTCATAACTGACACCCGTTGCACAAGAAATGTCTATCGTGGCCCAAGTGGTCAAGTATAGTGGATAACGCTTTAGTGTTTGAAATGGTGAGCACTGGGGTTCGAGACACAGTGGAAACACCATCAATGGCTGGGGTGTGCAGGTACATTGAGCTAACAAGTTCGAAAAAGGACGAAATACGTGTCTTGGATTCCACTGCTTGTCGATATCCACCAGATTACTTCTAGTATTCTTCATGTTTAGGCTAAATCATATGCCCAAATATTTAAACATAAAATGGAGCTCACTACATAGAGTTATATTCATTTTTAGAATTAAATTAAATGCACATTAAATCATTTGTTCCTTGAAGAAAAAAACAGAAGACAATATTAGATTTCTTATCTGTCTGACAAAAAATAACTAAAGAATGTTTCAATTAATTAGTTGATAAATATAGATAATATTTATAATATACAAGCCAAATAGTGTTAAATAAAGGTTTGAAAAGAAATGTGTTTACATTGAAGATTAAAACAAAGAAATTGAAATCATCTAGATCCTAAGTACTTCTGATTGAGTTTCATTAATTTGTTGTTGCTTGCTTTCTCGGGTTCTTTTGCTTCATCTTTGTCTAACAATGTTGACATGTAATAATCTTCACATTCTGAATGAACCTCATCAGAATTTTTCGCTTCATTTAAACTTGGCGATACAGATTCACTGTGTCGTGATCGTTGGGAACGTTTCCATTTCATACGTCTGTTTTGAAACCATATTTTCACCTGATAATGAAAGAATAATCAATGTAAGATGAATTATGTCATTGTCCAAATATTTAGTTGTATGTGACAAACTACTAGAATTATTTTGTAAGTAGCAAGTTAATTTTATACAACATTATTCGGCAGTAATATTAGCTGTTTAATTATCATATTACTTACTGCCTAAACTCACCAACTGATAAGAATAAGTTAGATTGGCTAAAAAGCACGATAGGTACATTTAATGTTATTCTTAGCTCATGAGTAGCAAAATACTCAGTTAACAGGCTCCCTTTGGTATTAGATGGTTGGAAGCAATCGGAAGGAAGCCTTCCAACTAGGTTTTGTGCTAGCTGGGACTCATCAACAGGGCGTATCTGCAACGTCGAAGGAACTCATGTCCCTTCTGAGATTCCAACTTGCATCACTCAGTGCTGCAGTTGGAGATTTTATCACTGAGCTATTCGGACTCGCGATTGACCTCCTGTAGGACTGTATTGGATGCTTTGATTGGATACTAGTAACTAGTTTGATATGTCTAGTCCTTTCTTTGATACAGACCGAAATCCATCAGTCAGATTTGCAATGTGGCCACCATGCTACGTGGCTTGCCATCACGGTGCACTCTGATAAAATTCAGTCTGTACCAAAGATAGAACTAGACACATTACACTAGTTACTGACTAGTGTACAATCAAAAATAATAGGCTCCCTTTTTAACAAAATTATTCAGGTGCTGTTCACTTGCTATAAAAAAATATTACCACTGCTTGAATGTAAAGAATAAAAAATTCAATTTTAACAGTGATTCAATAGATAACTATAAGTAAAGCAGTCTACAAATTACAATCGGATAAAAATTTGCGTAAACCTAGTTTGACTAGAAAAATGTGGTAATCATAAACAAGGGAAACACTGAGAATACTAGTAAGGTCGTACAAACCTGGTGTGCATATGAACCGGCTATAAACGCATACCTTGTTGCATATAAGAGTCATCATGCAATAAAAAACAAGTCACACAATCAAAAGATAAAATACCAAGTTAACAAAATGATCACTATCGATACAATAGAACATGAGGATAATAAATACTCTGTAAACAACTAATCATCTTGAAGTTCATCACGAGAGACAGTTTTTTTACATTCCTGAAGAATTCCTAAGGCTTACTTCATCTTGAAGTCAACAGTGAAGTTGTTTTTAGAAGGGCAGTGGCAGCTTCACATTTATACCACTCAGCTCAGAGAAAGCAACTACATCAAAATAGTATGAACTTATTCATTTGAAAGATACACCAGGGATCATTGAATTGAATTCGTAAAAAGCTGTTTAGTAGTGACAAATGCAGTCGTCTTGCCTCAGCTGATCTGTTTAAAATCTGTTGGTTAATCACGCAAATAGCGCTTCACTAATCACCGACTGATAATCAGTTAATGTACATTAATCAGTTCCTGGTAGCTCCAGTTGTGACATAGATAGTTTGGAAGTAATATTGTGGTGAGTGCTGTCTGTTAGTCAAAATTGGTAGACAGCAATTTACGTCAATGTTTATATCCCATATCTTGGTCATGAGAAAAAACAAGAACAAAGACTAAATCAACAAACAATAACAGCAGACTTTGCGTGGGCGGACACGATTCACATATATATGGTCTGACCTCCAAAGAAACGGCCACAACGAGGTGACAGCTTTAAGCGTGAAAACAGACAATCAGAAGACGCTGTTTCTCTGCTAATAATAAAGAATAATAATGAACATAAAAATATATAAGTATCTCTTGATTTCCTCAATAAACGATCTGTTTCCTGGTCATTGTCTTCTATCATTACAATATAACTAAGTTCAGAGATACTCATTAAAATTCTATAGACTGTATCAGCTTACTTAGAGTTTAAATGAAAAGAAAATAACTGAATGGAGGTGAATGCAATCTGGATAAAGATATGGCATGGTTAGAAGTGAATAAAAAGGAATTTTTGAGTAATGAATTCCCAAACGTACCACAGTCAACACAAAGCAGTTATCTAACTATGTAAGTATCTAGTGAACACCAAAGTATAGTCTTAAATGATAAATTGTCTCTTTTTAAGGAAATATTTGACCTTCATTCTTTATGAATCTATCCCAAAATCTGTTGATGATAGTGAAGGCAGCTTCTAATCCTACACGAGGTAGTCGAAATTAACTAGGTAATCTGCATACAAACCATGGAATATTTTCTGTATATTTTTGTGAAACTAGGTTATTAAAGGCTTGAAGATGTGTTTAGAAAACATATGTTGACTAGTGTGACACAACTTATTCTAAATACACTGGAGAATAAATAAAGGCGAATTAAGTTGGTGGCTTATCTTTCATAGATAGTGAAATGTTACTTCCAGTGGCTTAAAGGTCTACGAGCTCGCTATGTAACCAGAAGGTCCTGGGTTCAAACCCCGGCAAGTGCGTAATGGTGAAGAGTCCCAAACTAGGACGAAATACCTACTCAGTACTTCCAGGTTTTCCAACGGTTCTATGACTGATGTCAGCTTATGATGAAATTCTCCAACCAAATCTTACTTTCAGTTTGATTGCATGCTAAAAAATTTTCCATATGGACTGGTAAATGGTCGTTTAATACTTCTCGAGTAAGAGAATTATAAAATCATGAAAAACAGGATCATAGAAACTAGGAGACTATAAGATTCGATTGGCTAACACTAAAAAGCTCTGTGTACTGAAGTTTCAGCAAATATGGTGTTGTTACGAGGATGACATGGAGAAGATAATGTTAGGAAGAAATGAAAGGTTGTGATAGTGGAAAACCAAGTGTACTGTAAATGTGTCTATGAAACCCTATACTCTACTAGGAAAGCAACAAGAGAATAACGATTACCTGATTACCTTCACTCGCAGATCTTTATTACAATGATATTTTAGAATTATTTACGAAATCTGACGAAAAATTCTGGAGGTTTATGTTTCCCCAACTTGTGAATGCCAACAGCAATACACTGAAGAAAGTTTGAACTCTCAGTTTAAAAGATGTCAGCAATCTCAAACTGATAAATTCTTGGGTACCTTACTTTGTGTAACCTTACGTCTTAATAAGTGAATTTACTATAGTAACTTTTGCTGTAGTCATGATTTTTCGCGGTTTTTTGGAAATAATTTACACATTTGTGAAGTATAAACTTTTCTCTCTTGGTTAATATTGAAACAATATTGAAACTCAATATTAAGCAAAATGACTTCAGGTAAGATTGTGGATCAGTTTAATAAAAACCCATTGAAGTAGTTCACTTCGTTAATTGATCTCTACTTCTCTTCTTGATGTAATAGAACATTTTCGTCTACGACTGATTCTTCAGCTCTCTCCGTAAATTTCTTTGTGGTTATTGTCAGCCTTTTTGTAATTTCTTTTGTGTTTATGTTAATTCTGTCACCTTAAACAGATTGATAAAAGGTACACATATATTGAACATTAGACACTATGCCATCAACGTTTCTGGACGTTCGACTATTAAAGAAGACTGATGGGATTCCAAAAAGATCAATATATCGAAAGTCTACGTGGAACGGCCAGCTGGCAAACTTTTACAGTTTGGTACCCATCAGTCACAAGCGGAACCTGATAGTAACTCTGTGACTAGAATCCGAAGAAGCTGCAGCCTCAAATCAGTAGAAGAAGCGATCACTCTTTTGAGGAAGACACTACTTGAGAATGGCTATCCACCACGCTTTATAGGAAATTACATAAAGCCCAAAACCAACAATAACATCCCATCTCTGCGCTGAAAATGCTACACATGAATGTGGCGTTCAAAGACGACCTTCTGGCCGATATCCTAAAGAGAATAATATATAACGCCCTGAAAAGAATATTCTTTGCTGCCATATAACGACTGTTGTTCTCATGCTGCTAACTGTTCTTGAATAACTCCCAAGATAAACTATCTCATTTGAACACTTCTGTGTGTGTCTACCAATTTACTTACTCAAGTGGAGTGAGATATATAGATCGTTCGATGCGTATTTTATCTAAAGGAGTCGAAGAACATTATCCCACTCGGCTACGAAAAGGTAACAGTGGACCAATAAAGAGTGCTATATTTGAACATATATTCAACACTGGTGACTCAGAATGTAAGGAGAATTCATTCAAAGTCATCAGCAAAGTCAAAAGAAGCCTGCCAAAATCAGTAAGCTTCTGAATAATTTGCATTGCCGAGGCGTTGGCTATCCGGATAGAAAATCCTGAGTTAAGCACACAGGAGAAAATTCTCCACACCCTCCTTCCGTAACAGCACGGTATAATTTCAAGTGATCAAACCACTATATATATATATATATATACATATATATATATATATGTATATGGTTTTATATTCCCTAACCAGTCACTGGGAGTGTGATTTTGGTTTACATTTGACAACGCGAAATAGAATGTTCAAATATCCATATATTATTCTGTCTCTAATGCAGTGCTGAACTGTGGGAATATGTGAGAATAGTAATCCCTTGGAATACATTGTCCTTATCACACCACCACACTTCTACCACTGTTAATAATGCTTTTTCACATTTTTGATTTTTTGCATAATGACTTAGTGACATCTTTTTCTTAAGTAACCACTTATTTACTCTTTCTACCTATTACATAATATATTTTGGACACGTGTCTCCACGCCGTTTCATTGATATCCTGTTTTCTGAGTGTCTTTCATATTACACAGCCCTTGTCAATACTTAGCAATCTTCATCCCCATAGTCACATTCTGATTATTTATCACATTTTTGGAACATTTTGATGACTTTAACAATAACCCTAACGAATTTTTATTTTTGTTTGACAATCCTAATGTACAAACACACACATACACACACAAAATAATTATATATAAATGCGGTTGTACAGCTAAGTGAATGAATTCGCCGCCAGAAAGAGACTCTTCGCTGAACTGTTTGTTCTTATAATCAAGGTCATCAGCATGCAGTCGCCAACCAGTCAAATTCCTCATTTGTACAGATGCAGAATAATTATACTAGTTTTCTATAGTTGAGTTGTAACCGTTAGTTTTGTTTTTACGAGTTGATCACGGATTGATATCAGTTAGAGAACCATTGAAGACCAGCCACAGGGAGTACTGGAATCATCGGCAGAACACACCCACTGGAGTTCGAACCCAGGACCTACTGGTTACAAGGCAAGCTCGTTTACCATTCAGCCACTGGAACCCAATTCAGTGGTCCATGAATTCTAACTTCTACCAATTCGTGATTTAGCGCGACCCCAACCAACTCGTATAAACAAAACTAACCGTCACAAATCAACTATAGAAAATTAATCTGATGCTCGCTAGTGACTTGCTACAGGACGGAGTTTCCTGGAGTTCTAGTGAGAAGTCGTGACCAGTGAGGCCCATCCAGATGCCACGTGTGAGGATGGATGTCCCACCGACGACATTTATTGGGGTCGCGCTTAATCACGAATTGGTAGAAGTTAGAATTCATGGACCACTGATTTGGGTTCCAATGGCTGAATGGTAAACGAGCTTGCCTTGTTACCAGTAGGTCCTGGGTTCGAACTCCAGTGGGTGTGTTCTGCAGATGATTCCCAGAAAACCAGGATGAAACAGCTGTCCAGTACTCCCTGTGGCTGGTTTTCAATGATTCTCTAAATGATATCAATCCTTGATGAGCTCGTGAAAATTATACTAGTGCTACTTAGACAATTTGTTTTCTCTGTAGCACAAACTTCTGAGTGTTACTGGGTAAAATTTTAATGTCTTTTTTCATAAAAGTAGGCTTAATGAAAGCTAAGGAAAATTCAAAATTTTCATCATTCAAAAACAAAGGATATGTGCGTGTCAAAGTTTTATCTTTCAAAAAACCTTTGAAATCAGGATTCAGGGCATCATAAACATTAACTTTTACAAGAAACATGAAGCAAAGTCACAATTTCTATGAGTATTTGGATTATAAGCTTCAATTAAAGAAGAACTTAATTTGTGCAAGTCAGAAATTCTTTCACATGGACACTCACCACACACACATTGCTCAAACACTCCTGTGGCTGATACTATCTAATTCTTATTGAATAAGGTAAGCAATAACTAGAGTGTATAATACAACCATGAATTAGATAGTTGGAGGCAATCGGCCACAGGAAGACTTGGAAAAAGGTTTCGTGCACTCACCAGTCACCAAGGCGTATCTACAACCTTAAAGGAACTCATGTTCTTACAAAGATTCGAACCCGTGTCATCCAGTGCTGAAGTCAGAGACGTTACCACTGAGCTACTCGGATTCACTGGTGACCGGCACTAGTAACTATTGTCCAATCAAAACAACCATGTATTATAAACATTCACATTATCTATTCCTATTTCAGTTTTACAGTAGATCACATTGTTTACTCACGCTTCAAAGCGATCATTTACATTAGGAATTATACCCTGAATTTACGCTTATTATTTTATGCCCCTAACATTCAAACATGTTTAAAAGACTCATGTATTATTTCCTGCATTACAAATTCTCAGTCTTCATTGAACTGACAGGTCACACTGTATAAGGTGTCTACGCAGTATACACCTAATTATGAACCAGGTTTTTAATAAAAGAATGCATTATCAGGAATCAAGGAAACATTGATGAAAAAGCCAACTTACTTGTGTTTCTGTTAATCCCAGAGATGTAGCCACTTCGAATCGTTTAGGTCTTGACAGATATTTATTTGTTACAAATTGCTGTTCAAGTTCCAATAACTGTTGACTGGTGAATGCAGTTCTTGGTCTACGTGTTTTACCAATTAAAAAGTTGGATGACAATCCAAAAGAAATAGCTGAATAATAATTTAAGACAATAGGTAAAAACAAAACCAAATTTAATTCTGTTTTTTCCTGCTATTTTTAACAAGAAAATTTATTTTAAAATGATCAGCAACAGGAAATGTTCAGTTGGTTGAGTTCACTTGGTAACTTTGATTTAAAAGCTTGGCTGTTTACTAAATGTCCTGTCTGTAATAACTGGATACACTCGATTTTTATAAAAGATCATTTGTACCATTAAATATTACAAACAAGGATTTTATTGAGCGAGGAAACATTTTTTCTTACAAAGACTTCATTTTCAAGATATACGTACCTTCATATTTAATTGATTTACGGGGAAAATTTGAATTTGTTGAAAGACCTGAGCTGTTAATGTGTCCAGCTCATAAGTGATAGCACTGTCATAATAGTTACTCAGTGACTAATGGGTTTTAATGATTGATAATTTCTTCACGCTTTGAAGTTCTACTTCCCTCTCACACCAGTTTAAGATATTATCGACTGTGTAGGGAATCTCTACAACTGTGAGTCAAAGAGAGCCCTGTAGTAAAATGATTTATGTACTATGGGAATTTGAGAAAGAATAAAAAATATTGTGGTGCATTAGACTGTGAATGAAATAATAAGCATTCGTCTTTCACTTACTAATTGAAACTGAGATAAATAATTGTACATACTGACTTCTAATTCAACTTCTAAGATGTTGTTTAAAAGTAACACCAATATTATTTATTCATTATTTTGTAACATAGTCACTTAGCTACAAATGCGTTTTAAGATTTGTAAGCTACAGCACAATAAAATGACATGGCTAATTTTCATTGCATATGATACATAATAAAAATAAAGCTTTATTTCAGACAATATGCGAACAAATGGTGTAAACACTTTCAGTGTATTTAGTCCCAAAATACTTTCCTCTTCATACAGGATTTACATGTAAATTAATAGTCTCAATTATACCTTCATTTTGTTGGAAGCTAGTTGAATCAGCTCACAAGTTCATGTATAGGTCACCTGCTATAACTGGACAATTAAAACAATGATAGACACAGATGTAATTAAGCCTTTTGTTGGAAAGCAATTTCGGTAGCCCAGTGATTGAGATAGGCCGCCTACGAATTTAATCTTGTTTTAAGGTATTTTCACTTAAGCGATTGACATAGGCATAATGAAACACACAGTCATTTGAATTATTTTTAAGCCTAATCTAATTCTTCAGTTTCATGATCAGCTTTCTTTATATTAGCAAGATGGAAATTTAATCCTTTGAAGATTTTTAGTTATTTTTGTTAATTACTTGTGAGTAGTGTAACTAGTCTTCGTAAATATATACGGAAGGCAAATATGAATAATTAGTAAATTCATATATCAAATACCAATCGTCATCTTCAGTAGCCACTGATAATAATCCAGTGGCTGACATCAGAATACTAATGGGAGACATGAACGCCAAACTGGGATCAGGCAACACAGGAAAAGAACTCATTATCGGCGGAGAAGCAACTGGAGAACTCATCGCAAACTTCTGTGACTTCAATGAGCTAGTGATTGATGGCAGTGTTTACAAACACAAGGATATTCACAAGGCTACATGGGTGTCACCAGACGGGCGAACCAAAACCAAAACTGACTTCATCTAAATACTGCTCAAGGAAGTGGAGACGCAGCCTACTGCGCACAAAAGTAAGGAGACGATCAGATTTTGGCTCAGGCCACTATCTCGTACAAGGGACAATCCAAATCAAATTAAAAACCTTCAAAGAAACAGGAGCTAGGGAAGACAGATGACAATATTGTGAAGCTATGGCAAGTAAAGTAGAATAAGTTGCAGGCAAAGGAGACCTCATAATACTCTACCAAACAACTGGGGTAGAGATCAACACAAATTAAGCCAATGAAGGATGACAGTGGAAAGTCACTCACCAAAGAAGTGGAGCAAGGGAAACACTGGGCTGAACACTTCAAAAGACTCCTAAATTGACTGTCACCTACGACGCACCCGATAATACCAACAACGGAAGCGCAACTACCAGTGGATACCAACCCTCCAACGAAAGCATAAATCCTGAAGGCAGTCAAGATGCTAAAAATTGGAAAAGCATCAGGACCAGACAGAAACCCCACAGGAGTATTAAAAATAGACCCAGAGACATCAGTGGACCTGATGATATCACTACTGGAGAAGGTGTGGAAACAGGGGAAGGTGCCTGCGGATCGGAAGAAAGGCTACCTATTCAAACTGTCAAAGAAAGGAGACTTAAGTCAATGCAAGAACTGGCGCGGTATTATGCTCCTGTCCATCACAAGCAAAATACTAAACCGCATCATCCTGGAGAGGATCAAACAAGCCCTGGATGAAAAACTTCAGCCGAAACAGGCTGGATCCAGGAGCAACAAATCATGCATCGATCAAATCGCAACACTACGGATCATAATTAAACAGGGGTTGGAATGTCAGTCAGCTCTCTACCTCACTCAACTTCATTGACTTTGAAAAGGCCTTCGACAGCGTCAGTCGAGAGGTGATTTGGAGATCACTTCTCTACTATGGGATGCCACCAACAATTATGCGCCTCATCCAACAGCTGTACGACAATGCTGAGTGCCAAGTAATCCACAACGGGAAACTTACGGAATCCTTTGAAGTGAAGACAGGAGTAAGAAAGGCTGGCTGGCTGCCTACTATCGCCACTGATTTTCCTGATTGCAGTAGATTGGATAATGCGACAGAGAGCGGGCAATGAGGAAACAGGCATAAAATGGGCCCTAACGAAAAACTTGGAGGATCTGGACTTCGCCGATGATATATGTCTGATTTCCCACAAACTGGAAGACATGCAAGTGAAAAGCAACAAGTTGGCAGAAGAGCCATCCACAGAAGATAGGATTTCAGGTGAACATAGAGAAAACAGAGGTGATGAAGATTCCTGGCCAACAGCAACAGCAACGTACAACAATCAGCATCAATGGGAGAATTCTGAAAGAAGCAAACTCCCTTACCTACCTACCTGGGAAGCATCGTTTCAACTACACGCGAACGGAACTAATGAGGATATCAAAGGGAGGATTGGGAAAGCAAGGTAAGCTTTCATTTCTCTCAAGTCATATATATATATATATATATTTCACATAAATTAAACATTTACATGATTAACATACCGTTTGTACAGGCATGATCATATTCAACAAGTACAATTTGAAATGGAACACCGTTTTTTGACATCAAAAATTGGAAAAATGGAAAAAAAACCTCTAGAAACTTTGTTAGAATAGATTACAATATACTGGTTCAAGTCTAATTTATAGTCTATAATATACTTATAGTCAGTTAAATTCATGCGGGAATTACGAAATGTTGCGTTAATGGAAGGTAAGAAGAGAGGTGATTAACATGTGCTAGAGTACGACATACAGGATACAGGCCTTGTGATCATTGTCATTTTGTCAATTAATAAGGGTTCAAATATTTAAAAAAAAACAACTCCACAATAGAGGGTAAGTACAGCATTATTTTGGTAATAACAGATACAAGGGACCAACTTTGCGATGACAAACAGTACTCAGAATGGAATTTCTTCCGTTGTTCGTTGTGTCTGCCAACAACATTCTGAATAACGCTCAAGTAATAAAAACGTAGAAAGCAGCATTACTGTTCATTTGCAGTGCATCAATGCAATACCTTCGAGAAGGAAGAAGAAAACAGAAAGTCTGTGTGGAGATCAGCAGCACTCAGCACGAAAATTCAGATCCGGGTTTTCAACCCTAAATTGAAGTCAGTGCTACTATACGGATGAGAGACTTGGCGCCGCGTTACAAAGGCCACTTCGAACAAACTACAGACCTTCATCAACAGCTGTCTTCTCTGAATACTACTCAAGATCAGATGGCCGGCCAGAAAAGATGAGCAACAGGGATCTCTGGCGATGAGCGAACCAACCCAGCATGAGCCGACTGCGCAACAAATCTGCAGGAAGAAATGGAGGCGGATTGGCCATACTCTGAGAAAACAAACCATAAAGTGACATCACACCCGAATAGGAAGTTGCGATTTAGTAGTCAGAACGAGGGTGACATGGAGGAGGTCATGCGAAGAGGAGATGAAAGTGTGTGAGCAGACGTGGAGGCAGTTGGAAAGGTTGGCGGAGAACTGAACGCATAGGGCTGAAGCCCTATGTCCCACTAAGAAATAACACAGACAATAATATAACAATACAATATATTTAATACTGCTTTTTTTAAGGAAAATCAGTACCGACATTTTTCACGAACTTTGAATGATTGGCAGCCTAATTAACATCCTAATTCACTCCATCATCAGAATAGATGGCAACCTTTATGATACTGATATTGTTATTTTAAATGTTACAGAAAAAGGAACCGAAATCTTCTTTCTTTAGGCACATAATTCGAATGCGCAGATAAAAATTATGCGAAAAGGATGTAAAAACTTTACAGACAGAAGGAAATAGAATAAATTTTGTAGAAATAAAACTCAGTATTTATATATATAACGTCCAACAAAATAATAATGAATATCAATTACTTTTTCTTAGTAAATTGCATCATAAGATTACATTTTCATAGCTGTCTAGAAAGCAGCAATGATTTCTTTCAAAATGTTGTGGGGGTGAGTGGGGTGGAAGTGGAAATGAAGGACTAAATCTGTCTGCCAAAGGAAACGTGGACACAATAACAGTAAAAGATAGAAGCAAGGGGAAGAAAGGAAAAAGGTTTCCGAATAGTGTAGGCAGATTTAATCTCCTTTGTTCGACTTGAGTATAATGATACACTGAAGTGTACACACAAACATGAACAATGAGTAGATTGGTAAATGAAAGAACTTAAAGTATCCATCCATCTTATCTGGTTACTTATTGGTTTTATTAATTTTGAATTAAAAGACAAAAATAATACTGTCTATTTATGTATATAAACACATTGAGTACAATTAAATTTATATTTAAAAATTAAGAGAATATAAATTGCCTAAAATCTGAATTTTCTGCGT